GAAGTTCAGGTTAGGTAGGAAAGAAGTTTCTCTGGGAGGGTGATGAGACACTGGCACGGGTTGTCCAGGGAAGGTGGTAGATGCCTCAGCCCTGTCAGTGTTCAAAGTCAGGTTCGATCAACCTGGTCTGGTGGGAGGTGTCCCTGCCCATGGGACTAGATGATCTCTCAGGTCCATTCCAACCCCTAAAAATTCCATGATTCTATAGGAAAGGACAGCCTGGGGTGCTCTGTAGCAGTGCTTCAAGGCTTGAGGGACAGGAGTAATAAATACTGAACTGGTATGGACAGGGTTGAAAAGTGGCCCTGGACCACTGCTCGGGAGTGTACTCCTGCCTGAAAGTTGTTTGAAGCTTGACTCTCGAGTGCTGTTTCAAAAACAGCATAAACCCTTTGAAAACTCCTTTCTGGTTGTAGTCAAATGCTGGGATGGGATGGAACAGCTTTTATGACCAACGCCGTAGTGTGTCATAAATGAAGGCAGAATATTCTCAATATGCTCATGTTTTAGAACCTTACATTGAGCTTGTTGCTTGGGTGTGCAGAAATGTTTTCTTCATTCAGCCAAGTTCCATGAGTTATTTGATCACTCCTTGTCACTGTCAGAAATGGAATTAAACTCAGGAGGAAGCGTTGTTCTCTTGCACCTTTAAAAGAAGTCCAGAAAATTTGCAAAGCAGTGTCTTATATAGAGACTTAATGCAAATATTGGTCTTATAAATACGTAATTTTTGTAAACCTGAAGATTTTCTTTCTAGAAAGTCCTGTGGAAAGTGTTTTGAGTAGCATGCAGACCACTACCATTATCAGCCCTGGTATTTTCTCTTTTTGGAATCTGTTCTATGTTGTTATTATATATTTAGGTGTTGATCAGTGCATCCAAAAGTTTCTGGATGTTGCAAGACAAACTGAATGCTTTTTTCTACAAAAAAGACTCCAGCTATCAGTCCAGAAACCAGAACAAGTAATTAAGGAGGTATGTTTAAATTAATTTACCTGTCTTGTGCTAGATCAGATACACTGTGTATATTAACCACCTTATTCATGTTAATTTTGGGTCTCTCAACATGCTGCTGTGTGTTAAGTTTGTATAACTCAACTATTAATATAACTCTCTGCATGAACCTGGCTGCTCTGTGGAGTCTTGGAACAGAGCTGATAGTTTCATTGGAAGAGACAAACTAGTTACTCAGATTTTGCAGGAGGTGGTGATCTCTGAAATATGTGGCCTAGGGGAATGGCACTAGTGCATTTGCAGCACTTTCCCTCTGTTCCATTAGACACTTTTCTACTATTAGAATCACTACAAGATTAGCTTGAAAATTCAAGCTAAAATACTATATGCTTTTTTATGGGAGGTGTTTATTCTTATGAAGAATGTGCATTTACTAATACACATTTCTTTCATCCACAGGATGTTTCAGAATTAAGAAATGAATTGCAGAGAAAAGAAGCCTTAATTCAGAAGCACTTGAGTAAACTGCGACACTGGCAACAGGTCCTGGAAGATATCAGTGTCCAGCACAAAAAGCCTGCAGAAATGCCTCAAGGTCCATTAGCTTACCTAGAACAAGCATCTGCCAATATTCCTGCTCCCATGAAGCAAACATAATCTTCAGTTTTACACAGCTCAGTATTTTCAGCAGTGCAGAGGAGTGTTCTTACTTTGTATGCTTTTTGTATAATGTAATTTGTACTACAAATACAAATAGTGAAGACAATTCAGCCAAATAAATGATCTTTTTTTTTTCTTTTTCCTTCCAAAAGCGTAAATTGGTTTTAGATTTCAATGGAAAACATTCAGAGTTGCTATTCAGGATGCTTTCTGGTAGGAGTGTGTTTCCAAAAATGCATCCTGTTCCTTCTCAAAAGGGTGGCCCTAGCTTTCCCCTCTTTGTTGGTATGATGAGAATACTTGCATAGTTTAGTGTTTGATTTAACTGGAAGATTTAAATGCTTTGTGATCCAGTAATTATCCATGAGTACTAGTGTAGAAACACCCTTAGAATGGTCTGTATGTAGGTCAGATCAAGAGTGTTACTTTGTTTTGAAGTGAATTGTCATTCTTCACCGCGCACCTCATGGAAGGAGCCATGAGATATAAAAATTTGATTCTTATAGGATAAAATGAAGCAGAAAAATGCACACAAAAGGGTGAGGTATGTAATACAGGCCTAATGTTACTGATGTTCCATCTCTCAGGCTAGTGTAGAGATGGTCCACGATACCTACCCCCAAAATAAAGACCACTCATTGTGGATGTTGGGTCGCCAGCACTCTCCAGTCTACAGAACTGGCATCTACTGGAGTGCACTGTTCAGTCAGCTAAATGTAGCCAAAAAAGAACTTGGAGGTAGAAACAGCAAAGGGGCCCTGTCTCTGTATTGCTAGGCAACAAGCTTAATTCATCCATATAACCAGGAAAGCCACTTTCTAGGGACACCTTTTTGGGGACATTATTGTAACCCCAGAAATAAGAATTAGTAATAGTGTATTGAACTTTCTAGCATGCTTTCAATTTTTGAGGCAGAGTGGATGAAAAGTAGAGAAAAACCTAGCCCTGTACACAGGAGTTAAAGAGGAACTATCCTGCCTTAAACACCAGGCTGCTGGTTGCACAATTCCCTGCCTTTCACACTTGTTGATGAGTTAACTGAGGGTTAATTTCTCCATAGGTGTCTTTCCTCCCAGCAATGGGTTAGCATGATCTGATAAATGCAGTCATTCCCCCACTTTGCATTTTGATGGGCATAAAACCAATACTGAGATAAAAGGTACATGTACACAGTTCTCATCACTGGAACTCAGTGTATCAGTCTGACTCACACTTAAGCATAACATAGCAGTCTTGTGAAAAACAGAAATGGATAATTTACAAGCTTTAATGTTCACACTTAGATATGTTCATAGTTAGATATTAGGGTATCATCCTAATTTCCCAGGCTGATACATGTATTGAAGTGCAATGGGAATATTACATTGCAATGCTGACTATACAAAACAGTTTATTAAGCAAACCAGAAATGATTTCTAAACCAGCCTGCTATGAACATGCTATTCTTGGAGGTATACCTCATGCTGTACAGTTTATAATTAGCTTAACAAAAAACATTAAAAACTTTAAAAAATTACATTATTTTATGCAGAACTTACTTTAAACAGCTGATGAAGCAAATGTATAAAGGTACAGAAGGAAGATCTTTTTTCAGCTGGCACCAGACTGACAGAACGTATCAGAGTCCCAATTGCATATTTAATGTGGAGTGGTACAGTCTCTTGATTAAAAAGTCTTTTCATATAACTGTATCCAGAATTTTGCTTTGTCTTCTTTTACAGAGGTTTTTAAAAAATGCATTTTTCTGAAATCCATGCCTATAACTCCATAGTTATCAGATGTAAAACAGTGTAGTTGTTACTAACTATTTACTTAGAAACAACATCCTTTTTTTTTCTTTCCTTAAATCAGATACTGGATCATCATTCCCTACCAGAAAACAGAAATTACTTTTCTAGTAGTTCTGAGATGTATGGAAATAGTTTGGTTTAAAATGAAAAATATTTAGTAAACCATTCTTGATGCTGAGGGTCTTGTTTTGGTTCATCTTTGGTTTGTGGTGGTTCATTGCCATGTGTCCTGTGCAAACAAACAAAATTAGCATCACCTACCTAATTAGTTACAATTATGTTGGGTAAAAGTTCTATTTGGAACTGAAAGATTTACCTGAACATTAACTGACATTTATAATCAATCCTGTTATATAGTCCCTGATTTTCCATCATTCAGGATATTTTTAACACATGAATTTTGGTTAGTTTATAGTAGCAAATATGACTTCACTTATGACTGACTGATTTAAAAGAGTTATGTAGGAAGCAGCCAAGCTACCCTCAGTCTCCCTGCACATTTCCCTTTAAAACAGGAATCTGATTTGCCAGTAAGAAGCAGCCAAGCTGCCCTCAGTCTCCCTTTAAAACAGGAATCTGATTTGCCTTGGCAGTCACCTGGTGTGACACAGCATGTGGGAACTGCCAAACTGGATCCAAGCCTGTGTCCCAGGTTATGGTTTCTTGTCAGCAGTTAGCACTATCTGCCCTCAAGGAAAGAACTCTAGCACATAATTTACAGCGTAACTAATCTCCACCAGGAGAGGTGACAAGACTGGATTTTGCCCTGAAATACAATGATGGTTGGGTTTTCTTTTATATCTATCATTATAACTGTATAATGTTAGCTACGGACATTTTTAATTATTTCTTGAAGAGAGAGTTCAGTCATGTTTATAAAACACCAAGCATTGTTTAAGTAACTCATAAATTTGAAGAACTCAAGCTCTTCAGAGAGAAAACATCAAACGAAGTTTTTAGTTAATCAATTTTTAAGTCTCTAAACCCTTTGCCAAATGATTAGCCTAGATTCATTCAAATATCTCCTAAAGTAATCCACATAAAGCAAGTGCAAGGCAAGGAAACAAAAATAAGGAAGACACGTCCTTAACAGAACCACTGATAGATGCCTGAAGTTCTATGTTCACTATTAATTACATTCTTAGTTAAATACTTGAAACTGCTCTTTCTCTTGGAGGAGCTGCAAGCATAAGCTCTGCTGGGCAGGGATTATAGCTTACTTCTGCAGTCAAGTTCTGGGTCTGTCTGCAGAGAATTGAACACACAGAGTTCACTGCACAGCAGGAACTTTACATCACTGTGTACTTCCACAGGTGTTTGAATTGCCTACAAGATTCTGAATACCAATTCATTGATCATCTTACAAAATAGACAAATACCTTGTGGCAGCAGTGCTGTCTGAGGACTGTGCTGATGGAGAGCCCACCCTGAGGCAGCCAGGACTCCGGTCCAAGCTTGTAGATTTCGTTATTTGAGGAGCACTTCTTTTTGATCTCAAGTCACAGCTCAAGAAGCTCTTTGCGTAAGAAGCTAAATTCGGAACACTGACAACACGACTGGGCACCTCAACTGTTTTCTTCTTCTGCTTTTTATTGTAACAGAAAACTTCATTACACAAACATTTTTTACATTTTATACTATCAAACCTCAACAATGCCCCATTCACAGATACCTTGTGAGGAACACCCAAATAGGAAGATTCTCATCTTTTTCTATAGGCATTTAGAATAAAATCTCAGGGTATGCCATGAGGATCAATGGACTTGATAGTCCAATTAAAACAACTTGTGTCTTTGACCTTGAGGTTTTAGACACATCAAGGTGCTTTCCACCAACTTGACCTCCCTTCTGCCAATGGCTATTTATAGAGAGTATCATACAAAGGGGCTGGAATGACAAAGGGCAAATACCGAGTGACCCAAACAGAGTTAATAATTTTCCTTGATGAATGCAATATCCCAATTAGCAACTCCCAATCCTGCAAGCAATGGCTGTGCTTATTCCAATGGAAGACTGATGTCTTCGGAGTTCTAGTGTTTTATATTTGCTTAAACACCTGTATCTATGTTACATATATACTTGTACTGAATTTATGCTATACTCAACACCTGCCTGTAGGTTGCCTTATTGGAAAAGAGTTACTAGAAAGAATCCTACTGAATAATATAATAAAAAATTAACAGGACTTTTATTGTCCAGCATGATTCAAATAGTACTAAAACTTCATGATTTGCAAATTTTAATTGCATTGTCCATCTTACCTTCATGGAAGGAGTCAAACATGCTGTATTAGGGTTGAAAGAAAACGACCGATTCCTGCAAGATTCAGTGCAGGCTGAAAGTGAATGCTGACCTTTTCTTCCTTCCTGAGGGGAAAGAAAGTCATGCGTATGGAAACATGTATTTGTTGGAAGCTGGAATGGAAACACATATTTGTCAAAATATTCCCAAACAGAAAGAAACAAGCAGTCTGAAGCAATGTGTGAAACACTGAATAGAGCCCTCCAACAGAACACATATGTACATAGAAAAGGCAGTCTCACCACCAGCTGCTTGACAATCTCTTCTCTCTCACTTAATTTGTCTTGCAGACAGTTTCTAAGGTGTATATCTTCTGACCTGGACTCCCAATTTCTTGATTTTTCTTCTAATTCTTGAAGTCTGCAGCAAAGAAAACAGAGACTGGAAAAAAACCATCCTCATATCATGTTCAAGAGATACCTGAGCTTTACCTTTGCCCTATATTCCAAGCCTAAAATACAGGGACATAGTCAAGCCTTTCTGATAAGATGGCATTTTTTTTAAAACAGGCATCTGCACATGGTTTACATAAAAGTACAGAATGTTGTGGAGTTCCAAAATAATTTGCCACCAGGGTTAATACACCTGTCCAGTGTAAATTCCAGCCCCTGGTGTAAAATGCCAAGAAGCTTGTACATCACATAGTTTCCTAAAGAAAAAAACCCTGTGTCACAGTGTCTATACATATCTGCATTTGTCTATTTGTTTTCTGACTCAATAACTTTAGAATCCTCATAAATACTCAATTCCTGTAACTTTAATGAAGAGAGGCTTGGATTTACATGCTGCTTTAATAAACCCTCTAAGTCAAAACCTGCAGTCTGAGTTCAGCTCTTGAAATTCCTTAATCAGGGGAAGGATTCAAATGCAGACTTACACATTCTTAGATATGGTGTGGAAACATATTTGACTGAGCCATGAGAACACAAGCCATTATTTCATCAGCCAAGTTCAAACTGCTGCTTGAGAAACTGAATGCTATGAAGTTCACCTGCCTTAACCAGGACACATACTGAGAAATGTATTACAGAATACAGTTTCTAGGTTGTTGTGCGTTCTTTTTGTGTAGGGGTAAACATTTTTGAGAGGATTACCCCTCAGTCTTATACTCGGTTATCTCAGAGTTTAAATAAAAAGATAAATCTTAACATCTGAAAGGTTTGAGGCCTGCTTACATCCAAGGTCTCTTTTCTGTACCTCCACCATGCAGCTGAGATAACAGGACTATATGTATATAATCACAGGGATTGTTTCTGAGGGGCCTCTCCTGTACAATCTGAAGCACCACACAACTACTTAACTCCACAGGGGGCTGGAAAAGTGCATTTATTTACATGAGTTAGTAGGGACTGTCTGGGAAATTGTCAAGGTAGTGAGAATAAGCAAAAGCTTCTTAACCTCAAAGATGCTGCTCTGCTGAGCAAAACTAAGTACAGGATCATGGATCAAGGCCTCTGGTATCATCTATGACAAAGATGATTTTACACTTCTTAAAATTGCAAGATGCTACATGCAAGTTTTAATTTAACACTGGAAAATCTTCCATGTGTAGTGCTTTAGCTAAACAATGCTCAGAATTTATTACAATGTATCTGGGTATTTTTGGTTTGCAAAGACAATACCTATACACTTTCTGTTTCAGTCCTTGTAATATTCTACCTACATAAATTATACATACTAAGACTAATAATTTCAGACAGAACTCATTGCCAGTATGAGCCAGAGTTTATTTAAATTACTTACGCAGTTTCTAAGGAGAAAATTTTTGCTTGGAGATGTGCCTGAGTTGTGCTGAAATCAGATAATATGTGTTCAATTTCCTTCCGGTCATCTTGTTTCAGTATGTCCAGTTCTTTTTTATTCTTGACATTGAGGTCTTCTACCAGTAGCCTTTCACTGGTATTAAAATATGTCTGAATTCTCATGTTTCAATACTAGTTTATCATCATTGATCAAAGCATGCAGTTTTGAGGTCTTTTATTGACTGAAAAGGTAGTTAACTGGGCACAGATCTATCTTCTGCCTACTGATTTGGCTTTGACATTTTGGTAGCAATCTGAGCAGAACCAACCTAACACTGAGGAAAAGGAAAATTATTTTTGAAAGGCACTTGACCTTCAGCCTTCAGGAAATGGAGAGTCTATTTCATCTAAAGATGCTATTGATACTCTGACTAGGGTTAGTTTGTACATCAATCTAAATGATTAAATGTGACAATAAAGTGCCATAGGAGCTCACTTGTATTAAGCAAAATGATGTTGAAATCTCTGGGATTTTAACATGAGGCTCTGATGATACATTCCATCACACCAGAAACATTTAGTACTGACTACCATCATCCTAAAACTATCTTTTTTTCATTAAAAAGGTAAGAAATGTTGTAACAATGCCTTTAACTACAACATCTATCTTTATCACACAATATATTTTGAAAGATGCTGCTATGTGATTAACACCATCAACTGAAAACTAAAACATGCCTCACATTTTTTCAAGCCTAACCATAGTATTGCTTTCTGATAACAACCCCAAAAGCAACACACATCTACTAAAGACTCATATTTAGTTTGTTGTCTTTTGTTTGCTAATGCTTTGTTAAACCTTGGAGAAACTTTTTCCCTAAGTTAAAGAAGAGCCCACGTTCTGTGGTTTACTGATAAAAATAGAGATGTCAAGGTCAGCAAATTAACAACTATAATTTCTATAAAAGATATTCAGTTAACCTCTTTTTTTTCTTTTCCCCTATTTTTAATGTATTTGCAACCCTAATTCACTTGTTTCTGAAAGGCTTCAGGAAAGGCCAAAAGGCCCATTAAATGTTGCTGCCCTTGAAATTAGAGCACAGCCATGGGAGTGACTGATCTGGCACTTGGCATAATACAAGCAGCAGAAGAATAAGGGTAAAAAAGGGAGCAGAATCCCTGAAATGGATCTTCAGGGGTAGAATAAAGGTTTGCCTTCAGAATAGCCATTTTGGGACTTGTCCTCTCTTCCCACAAAATACCTTTGTCTTCTCTCATCGTAATCCTTGCAAAAGCTTTCTGTAGTGATGAGGAAATCACACAATTCAAGGGAATGTACATGGGAGTAATTACTTCAGGCAGATTACTAGTTTCACTCACTTGGCAAGAGTAGGACTAGTACTTTTAAATAATTTGTTATGAAAATTTGGTACATGCAAATAACAAGCCACTATCAGCTTTCAAATCATAAAAAAGCTATATGGCATAAGACAGGGTCACTGTTGTTAAAGTAAAAATAGCAGTTATTTATATTCACTCAGCAATTTAACTATTCCCCTACACAAACTATTAGTCTTGCAAAAGCAAAACAAGGGCTGCAAGTTAATGTCCCAGATCTTCCATGGGTTAATTTCAGAGCAGCCTGTAGCAGGTGCCTATGTCCACTTCTGCTCTTTGGTCCTACCTCCCATTATCTGAAGGATTTCTCCTTACATAATTTCCATTAATGCTTCCTTTTTAAATGCTTACTGTAGTGGAGCTACACCATTTATTCCCTGTAAAGATTAGCTCCAGCCCAGCAGCCTTAGCATCTGAAGCCTTTTAGACCTCATCACTGACATGTGAATAATTCTACTCTTCATGAACAGCAGCTCTAAATTCCTTCAAGGTAGCTGGAGGGCATGGATGAAACTCTCTGGTTTGCAATTCTTTCTGTTGATCTTGCTTCAAAAGCTTGAAATGAAAGTCACTTTCAAGTAACTCTCCAAAGAGTGCAGTGGCAAAAAAAAAAGAAGAGAAGTTTCTCATTCCTTAAATATCTACTGACTGGTAGACAGGAATGGAATTACTCTGGCCACTCTTACAGTCTGCAGAGACATTCTACCCCTTGAGGGCTTTTCTCTAGACTATATGGGCCATAATTTCAAATGTTCCTTCAAGGGTACACTCTTCAGAAATCCTTTTATATATACAGCTGGTATAGTTAGGGGTATACATTCTACACCACTGCAAAAATGAAATGAAAACTACACATGCACCAGATCCCTCAGTCTCTGTGCAAAGAGAATGTGTTACATCCAGAAATTCCAAGAGACTCAACAGCCATACAAATGCAGTGGGCAGTGAACCCAGCCTTGTCTCCCATGTAAGGTCTTCACTTTTTCTGTACACAAATGGGGTTTGTTTATGTCTTCCAGTGCCTTTCAAAAGGCTGACATTTTGCAAATTTTCTCAGGTTGCTCCTGTGAGGATACACTGGATGTATTTCTCTGTGCCACATAATGAATAATTAGTTCAAATGTTTTTATTATGGCTGGAGAGAAATGTGAAATGAACTACTGCCTTACAAGACACTTAGCCTCTAAAATTAGTACTTTAGAAAGATTCTAACTACTGCTTTACAAAACACTTAGCTTCTAAAATTAGTACTTTAGAAAGATTCTGACATGCATCACATTTAGAACACCTCTGATACTGGCATTATTAATGAATCTCTAGCTAGCACTGTGAAGTCTGAATTTTAAGGCAAACCTTCTCTGCTGTTTATCCTGAAGCTGTGCATCTTCCTGCTTCTGCGACTCCAACTCAGCACCAAGTTTTACAAAACACTTAGCTTCTAAAATTAGTACTTTAGAAAGATTCTGACATGCATCACATTTAGAACACCTCTGATACTGGCATTATTAATGAATCTCTAGCTAGCACTGTGAAGTCTGAATTTTAAGGCAAACCTTCTCTGCTGTTTATCCTGAAGCTGTGCATCTTCCTGCTTCTGCGACTCCAACTCAGCACCAAGTAGCTCCATTGTGTCCTTCAAAAGTAAATTCTCTTTCTTGAGTTCAGAAATTTCACTCTGACATTTCTCCAGTTCATCATGAAGAGATCTGATCTGGCTTTGGCTACTTCCTTCCTAAGAAAAAGGCCAAATTTAGTTATTCACAGCCTCTTACTATTTAATGTGAAGATTTCACTGGAATTGTCAGCATTGAATTTTTGTGATCTGATTTTTCACCTATATGTGCGAGCCAATATCTGTGATCAAATCTTCCTTTTATAGTCTCTATAAAACTTATTTTATTGTAACATTAATTCATTTACTTCTGTTGTAAAATCTGCTCTTTAAATGGAAAAGAAAAAACCTACCATAGGGAAAAAATTATAAATAATACAAACATTTTAAATTGAGACATAAGGGAAGGAAACTCATTCCATTTCTGTAAGAGACTGTACATTTTCATTATCTCTGAAGAAAGAAATTTAATGCTATTTCTTTTTCAAAACACAACATGGCAACAAAGTAGGAACTGAATTCTTGCCTGTTGCTTTTTCAGTGTCCTCACACTCCTCAGCTCCATTTGGAGTTCTTCTATTTGTTTCTTGAGGTTAGTGCATGATGTCTGTTGCTCAGAGAGTTCCATCCTTAGAGATCCTAGGAAAAATCAGACAATCATTTAGGCAGTCAGAGGCCAGTTGGATGGGAAAGGCAAAGGTAACTCAGCTGAGCAATAGTGAGATGATATGGAGCCCCAACAGCAGTGATTCAACATCAAAATCAGAGAGCTAATTCTGTGGTGGACAACAGCAATGATTCAACGACAAAATCAGAGAGCTAATTCTGTGGTGGTTGTTAATTGCAGATTACATCACTGTAATTGCTGCTTCTGATCTTGAACTCTACTGAGCTTCTCTATTGAGTCCACCAGTGTTTTTATAGAGGGCCATAAGACAGACTGAGGAGAGCTAAAGAAGCACAACACTTATGTCATCTACTGCAACTGTTGTGTATGTTTGGTACAAGATTCAGAATGGATCAAGTACAAGGAGAAAGAAGTTTTCATCTCTATTGTCTCCCTACAATTTTTCTTGAAGAACAGAATCTATTGAACATATAAACTTTAGACAGCAAGAAATCTTTCTAGCAAATTTGCATTACTTAAAAACAAACACCCAACCTAGAATCCAGTTTGTACTTAAAGGACTGCCAAATGAGTCTTTTTTTAATAAAAAAAAAATCTTTTACAGATGAGCTTTAATAACCTGAGCTTAAACCTGGAGATATTACAGGTCTTCCTAATGTAGTGTTCTGCTTAGGTCTGAACAGTTTAGGGACTTTTCAAAATTGACAAAACAATACATAGGGGGCAACTGACGTAACAGAACAGCTTTGAACCACATATAACAATTCTTCACATCGTAGGAAAAAAAAAAAGGGAAAAGCCATATACACTCCTTACAATTTTCCAATTTAATATACCTGATAATGTATAGTTGAATGATGTACACCAAACTACTCTCTCAGCAACATTCTGCTGCTGACAGCTGTGGGCTAGGTTAACAAAGAATATTAAGTCTATATTGCTGAAATTGCAGGGTATGAAAAAACAGATTCACAAAGACCTGAGTTGCCAAAAGATGGAGAAGAACATGAATGGGATGAAAGTCAGTGCTTCTAAGTGTATAATCAAGCAGTAGGAGCTGTGCATGACATGACACACTATACCTAGCAACAGTGTTTGCTGCTTCTGTATCTGCTCAAGTTCATCACGTAATTCTTTCTTTGCCTTCTCTTCCAAGGTTTGTATTTCCAGCCTATGAGACTGATGTTGGATCTTGAAAGTCTCATTAAATTCCTTTTTCAAACGTTCTTCTGCCTCCTGCAAGCAAAAGTCCCCCCAGAAAAAGTAGTTGGAGCCTATTTATCAGCTTGTTATTTTACTTGCAGTGCCAGGATGAATGTGGCCTTTCATTGTAGAACTTTTATTTTCACCACCACTTTACAAGACAGTTTATCAACACAAGCATAAAAATGAGCTGAAGTTCAACACTTAATTACTACAAGATAAATTATCAAGATATCACCTTAGACTTGTTGTACACTATGAAATAGTAACACTGATGTCTTTGCTCCATTTGACATCAGGAAGATGTTTTCTTACTCAACACACAAACCCCCCCAGATTTGGCCTTTATGTCATTACTTATCACAGTGTGTCAGACAAAGGTTTTTATATTTCCTTGTATCATTCTTGGCCAAACTTCAACTGTCATCAGAAGTACTGCTGATAAAACACTGTAAATGATGGAGCAGTTGCTTCTAGTGGCTCTGAAAGCAAACTCCTGTCCTCAGTTTCATTCCTACCAGCTTACTCCCTTCAGATGGTTTTGTTAAAACTGGAATTTTATTCTGAGTATATAAACAAGACATTAAATTCTACTTAGGGTGGTTTTACTACCTATGTTTTAAAAGGTTCCCTAAGGTGTGTGAATCAACAGGGACACCTGAACTCTGTGTCACAATTACATGTGCATTTCTAAGTCAATTTTTTTCTCAAGCAGAAACATCTTTAGAACCTCAGTATATTGCATTAACATTTTGCCACTGAAATAAATCCACTTGAACCTTTAAAAGCTTCGGTTATCCACTTACTGAATTGATTTCTTGAAGGTATATAGGGCAATACACATCATTATACATGTCTATTATACTTTCTCAAGTATTCATGTGTAAATTAATACTGGATTGATAATAATAAAACTGAGTCCTGTTATTAATACACTCTTGTGTTTCTGAGGCAGGAGCAGAGAGCTAACTGCAGGGTATATTAGTTTATGAAACATTTTTTCACACTGTGGTCTAAAATGTTAAAAATATTAAAAAATAATAACAAAAAAACCCAGCCTGATGATGATGAAGTTTCAAAATCACAGAAGAATTTGTTATGTGCAACAATGGCAACCCACCATTAAGCTAACTGGAGATAACTGAGTTTGGATAATTGGCTCTTGCCAATATGTTTATCCATAAATATGATTTTTTTTAGATTAATATGTAGTGAACTGACCTTGAGTTCCTGATTTTTGCTCTTCTCCAACATTTTTAAGACCTTTTGATGTGATGCCTCCAACTGCAATTTCACATTTTGGTTTTCTTTAATGGTGTTTTGAAGATCCTGCAAAAGCTTCTCTTTTTCTTTGTTGGACTGTAGATTATGTTTCTTCAGTGACTCCTTGAAACTATTTGCTTGTTGGTCTAGTATTTGCTTCAGCTGAGCCACCTTCCAGAGAAGGAAGTAAGCAGGATAGGATTAATGGCTACGTTCACAGCGAAGAGGAATCATGTAAAGTTGAGTAAATTTTATGAACTTGTGTTGCTCTATGAAAAAACCTGTAAGATGCTTGTTTTGTGCTTTGGTCAGTGAAGAACGACAACCCTTTTGCATATGCTCTCTGTTTCCCATCAAGTACTTTTCTTAAACTATTTCTTTTCAAATCATCCTCATTATTGCATGTACAATCCATAGCTCAACTTGCATAAAAATTATGGCCTAAGGCTAAGCAGTAAATTGGTAGCAACAGAGAACACAATGTAGTATGAAATCAGATGGAAAAGTAAATTTAAAAACGTTATTTTTAAGAAATTAAGGGCAAAAGACCTACACAAATGTACCAGTCATACAAACACATCCTTTCTCATGAAATCTGCTACTTCTAACATATTAGAGGTTAAGAAACAAACATTTCCATCCCATCAGGTTTCCTCCTCCTGTCCTTCAATTAAAAGGGCTTTCAAATCCAACAGTGAAAACTCTTCCCTGGAATATTTTGCAGTGCCCAAGTATTTCATTGTGCTTCATTACCTCAAAACATATAGCCAGAGCCTCAATATGATTCAATTAGTAAAGCAACATTAAAGGCAATGAAATGATGCCAACTCACATTAGACCAGAATCTATTTGGATATGAAATGTTGCCAACTCCTATCAGTCCAGAATCTATTTGGATACTTTTTACTATTAAGAAACCAGCAACACTGTGTTTTAGAATGTCTTCCTGCTGCAAAACAAAACTTTTTGAAAAAAAATTAACTTCTAATACCATTACTCGTTCACTTTTATCCCCCAGAATTGCATAAAGTGATCTTAAAGATGCAAGTAGTACCTAACCACAGTATAAACTCAAGGCAACAGTATATTTTTTTAGCCTTTGTTGAATTCTTTTCAAATTTCAGGGTTATGTTTGCACTTGACCTTTCTTAACGACAGCTGATTTTGCCTCCCAGTGTCTTCCAAGCAAAGAAAAAATGAATGACTGTTACTAAAAGATGACAGATAAGTTTTGAAATATTTCAGGTCTTTCAAGTTTCACTCTTTTCTAACCATAAATTATTGTCCTTCTCCTGGGAAGGATGGCTTTTTGAAGTACCACCTCTCAGACTTTGACAGACCATGGATAAAAATACTTGGCAAGTATAAGGCTGTGAATGTCATCACAGTTGGTTCCCCTGTTTGACTCCTGCTTTGATTACTTTAATTCACTGTGCTTGCAAGCAGTTTCTCAATGCATTACTAAGGGATGGATTTATATAAAGGACTTAAAATTGCCTTTTGATGTGTGTGGTGGTTTAACCCCAGCCAGCAGCCAAGAACCATGCAGCCACTCACACTCCCTCCTCCCCCTTTTCCTGCACCCTGGAGGAATGGGGAGGAGAAACAAAAGTAAAATAGAGGGGTTGATATACAATCAGTTGAGTAATTGAGAAAAGAATGAGAGAAAATACTAATGGATAATAAAAAGTGAAAGAAAAACCAAAAGCCAACAAAACAGCACCATTTTACCCCTGGATCAGCCCCACTATTTATATACTAGGCATGACATTCTGTGGTGTGGAATATCCCTTTGGCTAGTTCAGGTCACCTGTCCTGGCTATGCTCCCTCCCAGTTTCTGTTGTGTACCTTGTCACTGGCAGAGCATGAGACACAAGAAAGGAAAGGCCCTTGATTTCAGATAAACACAGCCTAGCAGAAACCAAAACAGTTTGTTATCAACATTATTCTCACTCTGAATGCAAACACCGCACTGTACCAGCTACTGAGACAAAATTAACTCCATCCCAGCCAAAACCAGCACATGGATGGAAAAGCCATGGCAACTGAGTTACTGCAATTAAGTTCACAATTGCCTTCCTAAACCTGTGGCAATTCCTGACCAGAGGGAGAGGTGTAAACACACTCTGCTGCTGCTATTTGGTGGTACCTCCGAGATCCATCGAAGCTCTGGACATTGCTGTGCTAGCATTGTTCAAAGATGCATCATGACAAGTGATGTCTGTACTTCCATTTTATGTTTCTTCTAATTCCAGAACAGAATCATAGAATCACAGAATATCCTGAGTGGGAGAGGACTTACAAGGATCATGGAAATCCAACTCTTGGTTCTGCTCTGGACAGCCCCAAGAATCACACCATGTGTCTGAGGGTGTTATCCAGACATTTCTTGGAACCTGTCAGACTTGGTGCTCTGACCACTTTCCTGGGAAGCCTGTTCCACCCTGTCAGACTTGGTGCTCTGACCACGTTCCTGGGAAGCCTGTTCCAGTGCCTGACCACCCTCTGGGTGAAGAACCTTTCCAACCTAAACCTCATGACACAGTTTCATGCCTTTCCCTTGGGTTCTGTCACTGGTCACCAGAGAGAAGAGATAAGCACCTGTGTCTCTGCTTCCCTCCATGAGGAAGCTGTAGACTGCAATGAGGTGTCTCTGCTTCCCTCCACGAGGAAGCTGTAGACTGCAATGAGGACTCTCTCTCTTCTTGTCCAGGCTGAACTGACCAAGTGACCTCAGCCACTCCTCATAAGGCTTCCCCTCCAAGCCCTTCACCATTCTCATTGCCTTCCTTTGGACACTCTCTGACAACTTACTATCTTTCTTATATTGTGGCACCAAGATCCTTTAACACACATGTTGAAGAGATCCTGTAGTGGCAAAGCAAAGAACTGGAGGGCCCTAATGAATTAGCATTTGACCCACACAGGAGCTCAAATCCTTCCTTCCAAAAGACTATCCAGAAAAATCTCATTAATACAGAATTATCGCCACTTTGAAGTGCAACCCCAGAGAGATGAAATCACCATGATTCTGTTTGCTCTGCATCGTGCTCTAGCTATGTCAGCCCGACCAAAAATGGGTCTCATGCAGTCAAGGAAGCTATTTTTATATCTGAAATTGTATCCAGGTTAGAACTGAATTAGTAACAGCACATTGCCTAACCTTTGAGGCGGAAGCTCTGGGCTGAGCTGTTCCAAAGGTTCCCAGCTGGGAATCATGCCCTCAGTGAAACATAATGTTGTATAGTAAATAGTGCTTTCTTGGCTGTGAATATTCACATATTTATAGCAGGAAACTACTACAAGTTCAAAATACTTCACTTCCTTGCCAATACTGCCAAATAATTGGTTCAGAAAGTAACTTTTAGAGTACCAAGAAAAATGCAAAATTTCTCTCAGAAGGAGCATTTCCTCCCTTTGGGGAGCATTGTTAGGTTCTAAGATACATTAAAAACTGTTTTATTGTATCTGCTTGTATTTACCATGACATTGTGAACATAACATATGCATGATATGTACTATTTTATAATGTTTATGTTTATGTTTGTAGTGGCAATAAATGTTTTATTGTATCTGTTCATATTTACCATGACATTGTGAACATATGGCATGACGTATTATTTTATATTATTTATGTTTATGTTTGTAGTGGCAATAATCCTCACCACTCCTCACGAAGTTTACCATGATGGATTTACCATACAAGAAGACTAGCAGTTAGGACACACAAGTTTCTTTCATGGTTTTGTCTTCTCCTGAATGTATGACTTCAAGAAAAGTAATTTGACAACTCACTACCTTACTTTTTCCATCTCCAAAACCTGAAGAATAATTGCTTCATGTCATAAAGCCTTCACTTTGAGACTTTTCAGTGGAATACACCACCTGCACATGTATGCACCATACTGTGAGATAGTACAGTGTGCCACTACTCCTCCCTCACACCTCAAATCAGTGTAACTTTCAGGCATTACCCAGGGATACCAGAATATCATGGCAAATTTTCAGCTTTGAATAAACTCTGATATTTTTTCAGACAAATTTAAGGGCATCTGGAAATGAATAAAAGACAACTAATATCTGAAAACTCATTTTTTTCCAATAGGTGCACAGAAGTCACTCTGCATAGGTCAACACAGGTTGGATTGGCCTGAAATTCTCTCACAGAAGAACATGTAGGAAACAGTGGCATGCAAAAACATGCAATGAAACTTAAAAATGGGATTTAGCCAGAAATTTCAGAACATTAAGAACTACACTTAAATTCTGTATTGCTAAGACTGGGAAATGGTTAGAATGCCAGAATGCCACTGATTGATACCAGAATGTATCTTGTTGCACAGGGATGAAAATATACATTCACAGGTGTTAGGAACTTTAAAGGTGCACTGTTTGCTTGGGTAAATAATTGTCTTGTAGGCATTATGCTTTTGTTTGGGGAATAAAACTATTTATGCAACCTGTTTTTCAAATAATGTCACTTTCCTGTATAAATACTTTGGCAGATGTACTACTCTGGAAAATTTGCATCACTTGGCCTGCAACTGACTATACATTACAGATATTAGGGGTGGATAATCTAATAACACAGCTCAGTTTTTTCCAGACTAATCCATGTCTGCAGATTTGCATCATGATTTGGGAGTAACCAGAGTGGGGAATGGTACACAAACTAGGACACTCTCAAGGCTACTTTGAGGTCACAATGCTTCCCCTATTTCGTTCTGGGCCTTGAGAAACATAGAAGGAGTAATACCTAATTACTAATGTAAATTAAATTATAGCACATTCCAATCTGCTTCAGTTACCACTTTTGTCCTCAAGCAGGCAGAACAGAAAATGGATCTGTTTGACCCTTTTCCCATTCAATTCTCTTGCTCCAGGGAGCAAACAAGATTTTACATCTTACCTTCTACATCTCTACATATTGAGAAAAATATCAGAATGTCAACAAGAGCTGTAAGGAAGATTCCAATCTCACTCAGTCCTGTATAGAGAGTCATCATGCAACCCTGATACAGCCAAACACCTCACCAAAAGCCTTAGTGTATCTCCAAAGAGTGACATATGAAATTTATCAAAATAAATAGGCCTGTCAAAATCTTCACAGCTGTCCAGAAGCAGTTATTGCTGTTATTTCTATCTGGAGTTCTTGTATATTGTATATTTTCTTGACTGACAGTCACAACAAATACTATTAAAATCTAATCCAGAACCTTTCACACGGGATGAAAAATGAAGAGCCCTTTTATTACTGGGTTTACCTCAAGTGAAGAGTTTTGAAGCTTCCCAGTTAGGACTTCTTTCTCTTTCTCTAGTTGCTTTAGTTCACATTCAGATTTTCTTTTAAATTCATCTAGCTGTGCCTGAAGTTCCTAAAATTTAAAAAAAAAAGGGAAGAAAGAAAGAAAAGACAAAGAAAGAAAGAGCATGCAATAGCTGGGGCAACACATGCAGCTTGAGAAAGAAAGAACACATTTCTCTACATTCACCTAGATAATACAGCAGTTTACACAGTACTACATGCTCCTGTCTTTTAACGTCACTCGTGTGTTATTCAATTAAATAAGTATTAATCACTTTGGCTTGGTTCTTTCTAATACTAGTGTTAGACAATACAATTTGCATAATCCTAAACTGCTGCCCAAAGCTTCCCTGAGGTAGAAAACTGTACAGCATGAAAAGTCAGACCCTTTTGCCTTGAATGGTGTTAGTATTCAAAAATAATTTAGTATGCAAGAGTCACCCACAAGATCTGAAAACCCATAAATATACATTGACCATATAAATAACAAGATGATTAACTAATGTGCAATTAGTGGAGAAGAGAATCAAAGGAAACACTCGCTGATAGCAGGCAAAAAGAAAATCACAGGAAGTAAAAATAAAATAAAAAATTGAGGACTAGATAATCACCTTATTGTTGGAAATAGTTGAAAAATCAATACTAATATCACTTGCAAGACAAATGAAAAAGAGCTTGTAGTAATTGCTTGTAGCAAGTGTGAGCAATTATTTATTGTGGAAAAAAACTGAATGTGCAACTTCTAGAAACTTCCTGAAGTGATATGTATTACAAGCTTATCAGTGCTTGCTCTTCCTACTTGTGCCAATTTGCTGACACAAAAAAATATTCTACCGTATCTTCAGACACTACAAATGGAGGAAAGAGGAAAAAAAAAGTAGCTATTTAACACCTCCCCCACCCTGTACAGCTCATTCTTAGAGCCTCTTCTTCCCCATTTTCATAGCACAATGACTTAAGAGTTCAAGATAAGAGAAAAAGTACCTAGAAACTAAGAAAGGGATAATCATTGGGAAGATGGGATGATATTAGGAATCAGAAGCACAGGCAATAGTGACACATTCCATACAACTCATAATTAAATAACAAATGCATTAGCATTTCACTGCTTAAAACTAAGGTAGCAATTAAAGGATGGAATTAAACAGATACATGAATTCTGCAAGGGAGAAATTAGCTTTAGCTTTGTCTGTACAAAAAGGAGAGGATATAACTGTCTTTTTGATCAAAACCTGAAGATTGGATGCAACATTCCACCTGCAAATCTGCCAACTGACTTCCTTCTCTATGCCTTCATTTTTTGATCGGGAAAACAGATAAAATCCTTCACAAACAGCTGTTACAGGCCATAATGGACTCAAACGATAAAAACAGCATTATTGATGAAAAATATGGCAAATTTTGTTTTATTACCTCAAGATCTTTCTAATGAATGTCAATCTCTCAGAACAGATGATTATAAGCAATAATATTTATTGCCTATAAGCTATCAATGTCTACTATTCTGCCTTTTTTTCTAAAGTGTTGGATATTTAAATTTGGTATGACTCACACAAAGAGCTTCAGCCTGGGATAATTTTAAGCATACCTGTACAAACTTTTAAGAATACACTATATAAAAGGCTGTGTGGATCCACAAGAAGATGATCATTCTTTCTGGCTAAAGTTAAATAAGGACATATCTACGTGCAGGTAAATAGCTGTAATTTCATCGGTAACACATGCACTCGGAATTAATTTACCAACATACTGCAGAATTAGATCCTCTGCCCAAACAATGTGAAAATTTGATTAAATCAATTTAGCTGGATATTTCACAGCAGCAAACCATGAAAATTTAAGTCAGAAACTGGAATACATCCATGATACATTTTTCTTCAGGAGGGATCTTACATAAATCACTCCAGCTGCCACACACAAAGCATGCAAGGATAAGTGTTGCTAAGAAGGCCGTTTATCACATCAAGGATAGATTCACCTTCCTGTCTGTGAAGCTTTTCACACAAATACATCAGTCTGACCTTTTTTTTTTCCCTTCAGTAAGACAGCAGCAAGAAAATCCTGGCATTTTATGCTAATTCCAAGTGCCTACAGTGAGCATAATTCAAATGATGTCACTGTGACCAATAAGATTAAAACCAGATGAATTAAAGTATCTATAAATAGAAGAATATTCCTACCTTCTGCATTTTTTATTTTCAGATTCTATGAAGTTTTAGACTGGCCTGATTTCCTTTGTATCCTTCATTAAAAGATCTACCATCCCTTTTAACAGCTATTCCTTCAAACAAATCTTTTCCTTATGGGACTGATGCTTGACTAGACAAAGTTCTCTCTTTTATTCATACTCTTTGTAAATAGCTACAGTTTCCATAGTCTATAAAACACACTAGATATATAATATGACAAGAAACAGGGTAGAATTCTGGGGTCACAGCAGTCTATTTCGTAGTGAACATGCTATTTAGGTGGAAACACTCCACTGAAAAGTACTGGCTTTATTTAACAATGTAGGACTGTACTGACTCAGGGCAGTTAAAGTCTCTTACGCAGTCTAGGAGTGGTTTGGGGTTTTTTGCTGTTCTGGTTTGAGCTTGGGTGTGTAACTCACTTCCAGCCATGTAGGTTTCCTCAAGGACAACCTTAGTTCTGTGAAAAAGTACAATGGACAATTTGGGTTTTCTTATGTCTCTGATGCCCAGTCTAATTTTCCAGAATGGTAGTGTAACAATAGTCTAAGAGAACTAAAACGTATAGAAAAGATCCAGGGCTGGACAACTGCTTAAAGGGAGACATTGTACAGAGGGAACTCTCAGGGTACATACATTCCTCATTGCACTGAATTTATTCATGGTATTATTTCTGCACAGCTTTTCAGAGTAACTGTATTGTATGTTTAAAAATAAATCAGTATTTCAACTTGACCTTTACAGAGGAAGTGTGCCATGGACACTGCTCTCTTTAAAGTTTTGGTTACAGAAACAGTTGAACAGTTTGCCCAGTTCTATCTCAAGAACATTCCATAGTTTCTTTGCTGTTTTTGCAGCAACTCATATACTTTAGGTTATGAAAACCAGTGAGTGTTCCACTGAAAGAGCTCAGAGACCTGGGAATTATACAGGATTGACTGCTGTACAATAACCCAAAGGCCATGAATCTTAAAAGAAAAATGACACTGATTTCAGTACTTTTGGTATTTGAATATGCCTTTGAATGTTTGAGAGCAAACCACCTGTTAAAGCTCTTGCACATCTTCAGAGTCACCCTTTTCTGACTCTGTTTGGTACGAGTTATTTGCTGCAGCTGCGTTATTTGATGTTTCAGTTCATCTACTTTATTAACAGCTTTGCTTTGGGAATTCAACATAGCTTCCATATCTTCTATGGTACCAAAATTTACATTTCAAATAGCATAAATAACTTGCAGAATTTCCAATATAAGTGACTGCTAACAAGGGAAATACTTCAGAATGACATTAATGAGCATCTTACCTGCTTTATGCAGGATTTCCTTTTCTTGATGTGTATTTCTCTCTTTGACTACACTGAGATCTTCTTCCACTTTTCTCGCTATACCTTTTGATGCCAGAATTTCTTGCTGTGTTCGCTTAAGCTACATTTCCAAATCCTAAAATATGCATGACATTACTTCCACATTTATTACATATGTCCTTTTCTTGTCATAAGAAATAAATGGTCATTTTCTCTCCTGGTGTAGTTCCAAGGATATAAATCTTTCACCTACAGAGCTGATTTAACTGCATTTTTTGCTTTTCCATACCCTTCAACTGTCTCTGCTGCCAGAATATTTGTAATGTGGAGCCATTTGTAATGTAGTAGGTATCATTGTAAAGTGAACATTCATCAAGAGTTACCATCTAAAAGATGTCTGAGATTATCCTAAGCTTGGAACAGGTTATACTTCCTGTTAATTTCATAACAACTTCTGCTAAAAGTTACCGAATATTAGTTTGGGGGTTCTTTTTCAGTTGCTGAAATACAGAAGTTTGTACTATAATCCATAATACAGATGCCCAAACTGAGAAAAAGACAGCTCCTACAGACTTTGCTGGGAATTGCCTGTCCATAACTAAAGGCAAATATTTGAACCATATTTAGTATTCTATTTCTGGAGGTTCTAGTTTCACTTTCCTGATGTCTAGCATAATACTGCAGTATTCACTCAGATAACACTGCCTACATGAATGCTGAGTAAAACCTCATGGGTTAAAAGTAATTTGCATTTAACACTCTGTCATTGCAAGGTTCATGGTAAGCTTCATCCTTTTACCTCTGGCATATGCCAAAATTCTTCCAAAACTAGACAGAACAGATCAGACTTAATGACTTCTCATCCTTTGCATTCTCTCTTCCACAGTAATAACAGTAATAAACGTGTCCTAACATCATACCTTTCATCTAAAGTCTCAAACTTCTTGGCACACACTAGGGAGAAATCAGAAAATTCATCTTGTTTAAACAACAGTCCTTTCACCTTTCAAGCCTTATAATAGCTTTGCTTGCTAGCATTTACTAGTGCTCAGAGGTATTACTGATTAAAGAGATGTTTCTATTTCCCATTCTACTATTGCCCACAGGAGTCTGAAAAAAGAGTAGTACTTAATGTTGATATAAAAAATAGTCAATTTAAAAAGAAGAAACTTTTACTTTTTTACTTAAACTGGAAAGAAACAGAAAATAACATCATGTCTAACTCTTTCTCTTCTTCCAGGTTTATCCTAGTCTGAGGCTATCTCTTCAAAGATTCAAGGCAATATGCTCTGGTGGTATGTAAATCAGCCTCATTCCAGACTTAGAGGATCTGAAATGTACGAGCTGAGCATATGTCCCTCATAAAATATTTCAGTTTCACCCAGATGATACTGAGTTTACAAAATAAATTGCTAATGACACCACCTTCTTATTTCCACTTCCTATCATGTTTTGCATTATTTTTTCCTAAGACTGGATTTCTTATACAATAAATCAGAAGAGTAAACCACGTGCATAAAAGTTCAAGTGCCCATTCTTAATTTTCCCTGAATGTTACTTCAGGTACCCACAAGAAATCAGGATCTTACTTTCCCTCTTGACCTCTACCACTTCTAACTTCTACAGAGCTCAATTTCAAACAATAGCTTATCTGCATCTCTGCCATTCATTACATGCTCTCCACTTTTCTGCTACAGATCTACACACAGAGAATGAAATTTGAATCTTGGGGAAAGTGTATTCAATTCATCCTCTGATCTTGTGAAACAGAAAGGCAGTCAGTGACTGTATTGAAGGCTGAACTCCCTCAAGGAGCATCCTCAAAGAGGCCCAGAACTCTGCACAGCAAAATGATACTGCTGAGGCAGATGTGAGGGCAGATGATGAAAAGAGTTAAAGAGTTGTCTTGGAAGAATACAGCTGACTGGGGTGACCCTGCTCGCTACACAATTCTGGGGCTCTCTTACTCTAAAGAAAATAAATCTTTTTTCCTATTAGGGAACAATTCTTGTTATTGTGTAATACTCCAAGTGCAGACCTTTGAGGTGTTTTCTTATCTAATATGTAAGATTCCTGTCACAGGGCTGGGGTAGGTCTGGTAGGTGAGTTTATGTGATGTGAAGGATTGATAGTATTAGAAAGAAGTGGAACTGTTGAGCACAGAGCATGGCTGGATGCTTCAACTTCAGCGCAGTTCATCAGCGTCTCTCCTGCACTCTGCCCTTATGTACAAAATGCAGCTGGTTGGCAGATTGCCCATGACATGCCAACCTCTGAAACTGCATCTGACACATGATGCAATTAAGCAGAAAGGAGCTGCAGAGCTGTGCTGCAAATGTATGAGATATACAGCCGTGAGGGTAGACAGGCAACGTGTGAGCGGAGAACTAATGGTGAAAGTCTCACAGCTCAGCACATAAAACTCCACAGGTGTAAAGGACACTTCATTCAATGGCACTTGGTACAAGCCACTGCTGCAAGAGTCATATAAGGCTCTTGATTCCTAATCTGCCAGCTCAGGTCTCTTATCTGAGCCCATTCATATCCATGCACTGAGCTACTGGCAATCACAAGGGAAAAGGAGAATGCACTCTGTAAACACTCATTGCTAGTGGCAGTGCCTGCTTGCTGTTCTCCTCACATTTCTGTGCAGAAAAGGTAAAATTCTGTTCAGCCAACAGATAAATTTTACCTCACTCCTCCCTCAGGGAACACAATCTAGTGTTTAAAGTGTTCTCCTAATGACTTACTAACCATCTTAACTCTTTCTTTAAAGCTCTCAGCACTGTGTCCCTATTTCCATTCTAAGCCTCTAAAACTGCTTTACTGGAAAAAAAAAAAAAAAGCATTTGACTCAACATGATATTTAAAAGACAGCTCCTCTCCCAGATTTTTGGGAATTCATAATTTGCACTTTTATAGGCAGAGATCGGGATCACAGTCTCATACTCTACCTGTATTCTTTCCTTCAGCTTCTGGGAATGCTTCTTCCTCTCATTTATCTTCTGGCTTTTCTCCTCCAGGTCTGCCTCCAGTTTCTTTACCTGCTGCAGCAAAAACCCTTCCTCAGTCTCTGAGCTCTGCCTTTGCTCTATTTCTCTTTGCTGACAATTCATCTTTGTTTCTATCATAGATTGCTGCATGGCCTTTTTCAAAGTCTCCTTTTCCCTCTCATAGGAGGTTTGCAGCTTGCTTGTTTTCTGAGTATATTCTTCTGTTGCTCTCTGTTTCTCGCTCTTCAGGTTTTCCACCTCATTTATTAGAGCTTGTCCTTCCATATTGCATTTTTCATCTACATTCACTTTTTTATGTAGATATTCTCTTCCAGATGCTTTGCATTCATTTATCAGTCCAACAAACTCCTGATTTAAATGTAGAAGCTTGTTTTCAAAGCCTGCATTGGTATCTGCCATGTCTGTAGAAAGGAACACATGTGCTTGTTTCACTTCTGTTCTCTCCTTCTCTTCTACCTGCTTTTTGCACAATGTTAACTCTGCCAAGGCTTCTTCCTTCAACCTCTTGTGTTGTTCTACCGCAATTTCAAGGGCCTGAATGTGTTTTCTCAGCAATTGTTCTTCCTCAACTTTGCTTTTACACTGGAGAATAGTTTCCCTCGTCTCAGCAAGAATGCGCTGAATTTCTTCTTCATGAGCCTCTCTCAGGGCCTGTATACTGGCCTCATGCTCATCATTCTTAGTGTTCAGAGCATATATCACCTATCAAACAAGAAGAACAAAAAATTAAAGTATCTAGGTGAACGACAGCCAAGAATCCAATTACTATTATAGTTATTACTATGTTTATCAAGGTGTTAAATGCTAAAAGAGAATTACTGCTATATATTAGTATTTGTAGTGGTGGTTCTTTGTGTTGTTTTGGGGTTTTTTTCCACTAGGAACAGAAGGGACGATTATAAACTGCAAAACCTTATAGGAAAGGAAGACAATATTGTGATAATATTTTTCACTTTTTGTCAAAAATTTCCTTTTTGTTCTTGGCAAGTTGTCACTTCAGGCCTGTAGCTTGATCTCTAATACAAGGAAGGAAATAGGGTCCCTTCCCTAGCTAACTGACTCCTTACTTGTAGTCCAGGTCACCTGGTCTTCAGTGCAGGAGGAGTATCTGCCACATTGCCTTTGGCACTATGAAGTGCTGGGGACTAGTAGTGGCAGATCTGTTCTGCTCTGTTATTCCTGCACTTCTGTTCAATAGTGGCTAGAACCACAGTGAAGAATATTGACTTGAAAATGCATGCCCTTAAATTTAATCTTCAAGCTTGAGTGCTGAAACTGATTCCTCAGTACCTTAACCTTCTTAAGAGATTTACTTTTTAGAAGGTTGCTGCTCTGTACTTTATCAAACTTAAGCCCCCTACACATGCCTTTCACCCCACACTGAATAAAGCTACCTATATTTCCATTCCAGATTCCTCATTTTAGAGACTGGAGTTATAAGAGTTCAGTTCAGATGCTGAAACAGCTTAATTTTCCTCTGTTTCTCTGTTCTTTGGGGTTTGCCTCTATCCTACAGTAAGTCCCACTTCATATTGGCTTCATTTCTGTATACCCACTTCATGCTGTCTTACTAACACTTTACAAACCAGAACAGATATTGGCCATTTATTAGCTGAATTAACTGAATGCAGTTTATGTTGTCTCCCACCTATATGCCTTATTTCTTTCCATTTTTTATAGATGTTTATTACTCCCTTTGAGCTAGTATAACTCATTAATTTCAATATGTCATTTACTTCCAGGTCATTACTTAATATTTGAAATAATGCAAGATCTTTGCAGCATCTGCCTCCCTACAATAGGCTGTTATGATTTTTTTACAGCTCCTGACTCCTGTTGTATCTCACCTGTCAAACTCCTTTTCTACATAACTTTTAAATAATACTGCAACACTTAAATAGCAAAAGCACTATTATTTCTTGTGGATTTTGTGTGCAATTAAGAATTAGAATAAACAGAATCAGTCAGCATGACATTTACACGAAATGCATTTCTATTTCTTTGTTCTCCCTGAGGTGATCCAAGTTCATCTCGAGCGTATTTATCAGGTTAAGCTGTATTCAAATACTGTCAGAGGATCACATTATTTTTTCAGTAAAAGTTAAATTAGGTCAAATTTCTGTCTATTAAGAACCACAGAACTAGATGAAAACGCTTTAAAAGATTATGCTTAGACACTGACAAATCAATGTAAATTAACACACACGTATGTAGGCAAGCAGAAAGGTCAAATTGATTTCAGAGTCATAGAATCACAGAATCATAGAATCAACCAGGTTGGAAAAGACCTCAAAGATCATCAGATGCAACCCTACGTCCTTTCTCTTCACACTTCACCATCTCTGTCTTGGTGAAATTCTTGCATAACTCCATAGGATCTCAAATATCCCCATAAATCTTAGGCTACTACAGTCTTGAATGAGTTAACTCTATCTTATGAAGCTCTTTCAGATGGATAACCTGCAAGAAATAGAGGATCTGTTTGACACAAGCCATATTTATACCTATGTCCTCTGTCCATTGTTGTCACTGTAGATCAAGTGAATTTTTAGTACAGAATTGAAGTCTACAATTCTGTGTCATTTAAGAAAAACAAAGGCCTTATTTACATGTAATTCACTGATAATTTAGCTGTCTGGCTTTTGCTACATACTAAGCTTTTCTATGAGTTTTAGGTTTATATCCTAGAACTTTGATCTCTTATGCTTCAAAAATATGAACTGATGCATCATCACCCAGACCTAAATACGGTGATGATAGAATTAATTTGCCAAAATAATACTCTCTTTTGTGAAAATGTTTCATTACATCCCAGAGTTTCAAAGATTTTTAAGGAATCTAAAATTGCAGACATATGTTCAGTGCTTTCAAAGGTTTTGTTTAGTTGGGTTTCTTTATATTAGTCTAGATATTTACCTGAAACCTTATCCTTCCAAAATACCTTTTAAAATCTTGTTACAGATGATGATAAAGCAACATTGCCCAGTTTTACAATAAATACAGAAACCAAACAAATTCATTGAGTAAGATCTCACTTAATTCCTGTCTCTCAAACTATTTACTTTTAATATAGTAGAATTTGGAAATCTTGCAAATATAAACTGTGGAACTGTTGATTTAATTACAGCCCAGGGTGAAATAGATTTTCCCAACCAAATACATATTTTTGTGGAGACAAATATTAGAATATATTTAAAACACAATATTTATTGCAGGTTTTGTCTTCGATGTAAATCTGTGATAAGCATAGATAAAATGAGTTTTGTTTCTTCCTAAAGCATTATACAGACTAGACAAAATTATTACTCTCCCCTAGTTTGCAGGTCAAATTCTCATAGAGGATTTTTTAAAATTTAAAAAGATTTCTTTATATAGTCTAGATAGTTTGCTAATTAAGAAAAGAAACCATCAGAACCCTCAGGTATCCATGAATTAATAATGCCAGTTTCTACTACTGCAGGCACCAAAATTCAAGCTGTTGCTGCTGTAAGCAAATTCAACTAAAAGGTCACATGGATTCAAGAAGTGACTGGAAAAATGTTCTGAATAAAAATCCAGTCAGGGCTATTAAGTACTAAGATACTTTGCCAGTCTCTGGGAAATCTCACACATCACTGGAGGCACTGAGAATACTTAACACAAGTGCATTATAGGCATGTCATATTCCTGTAACTCCTGGGCACCAGCAGAATCAAGGTACTGGCCCACATGGACCTCAGCATACAGTGTATTTGAGAGATGGTTTTCTTTCACTTTCTCTCCTCACTTTTAAGGCAGCATTGTAGCAAACAGAGTCAACACATGGTTATGCAGTTAAAGGCTACATACTAATACACATCATAATACGACACTATTACTCATGTACCCATGAAATTTTTACCCAAACACTCCTAACAGTAAACCAGCTAACCTGAATACAGCTACTACTCTCATTCCCATTTCAGGAAGACAAACTTATTAAGCATATAGAACATAGATTAGGCTGCACACCTCCTGAGATTGCATCAATGGTCACAAAACAAAAAAAATTTAACACCATCTATCAAGGGAAAAAGTGGAAACTGTCTGCAAAGAGTGTAGAGAGTGTAGTGGCCATGCACTGTAGTTTCATTAGAAACTACTTCATTGTAGAAGGCCAATGGAGACCTTATCACTCTATACAACTTCCTGACAGGAGGTTGGAGTCAGGTGGGGGTTGGTCTCTTCTCCCAGGCAACCAGCAGTAGGACAAGAGGGCACAGACTCAAGCTCTGCCAGGGAAGGGTTAGGTTAGATATTAGAAAGAATTTTTTTTATGGAGAGAGTGCTCAGGCATTGGAATGTGCTGCCCAGGGAGGTGGTGGATTCACCATCCCTGGAGGTTTTCAAGCTGAGACTGGATGTGGCACTTAGTGCCATGGTCTAGTAACCACAGTAGGGTTGGACTCTATGATTCATTGCAATGTCCTGTAGTCCAGAGACAATTCATTATTTTATGAAATACTAAAGTACATCAGCATCTTAGTAAAAACATTTCAACATTGTAAAAACATTTAGAAGTACCAGCTATAGTTCTTGGCAGTCCTGTTATCAAACTCTAGTAGTTCCCTCTTCCTGAATGAAAAAAGCAAAATATCCAACTGTAATCTCATTTACATCTAAAGGTAGTTTTCATAACCCTCTGTGAGGGAGAAGCTTAAGCTACTGTGCCCCACTGGGAGGCAGGATAAATTAATTTAGCCTTGGTGCTGCACTGACTACATTCACACACTTCCTGCTGGCTTTAAGCATAAGCAAAAATATCTCATGTGCCTATCTGTTCCTACTTAAAAGCATAGGTTAAGTGGTCATTGGCACCACAAAGACAGTCTGGCTGTGTACAGGCAAGAAAACAAGTGAATTTTTACCATGAGCCAGCTAATGTGTTTAAGATCTGACTGTACAGGTGGGAACAGAGGTAGTTCTACCTTAGTGTTACAGCTGTTTTAATAAAACAAACACTCCCGTTTTCCCACAGTCAATTAGGTGAAAGAACAGGACATGGGGAAAAAAGGTATTTTACATACAACACACAATGCTGAAGAGTTCAAAGCCTAAAATACACAGCTTTAGAATATTTACGTAAGAATGTCTTCAGCTGAGTTGGCACTGACTTTTAATTTGGGTATAATGCTCACAGTTGTGAAATACTGGCACCTGCATACTGGTAAAAGAAAATGTCAGGAGAGAGGTACAGTTATAGTGTCACTGAAAATGGTATTTTTAAATATTACCCATGAAAGAACATAAAAACTATAACCTTGCAATTTTCTTTAGCGTAGTTAATGGATCATTAAACATTTTATTATCTATTGCCTGTAATTCACATATTAATAACATGCATAACATTTTATATATAAACATTCACTAGGGTGCCTTGACAAATAGACTTGAATTTATTATGTACTCTCTATTCTAAAGCAGCTTTGAGTTGTCAGTTACTAATGCCGTCAGATTTTCTGCAAACTTGGTATAATTGGTGACAAATGTGCATGGTAAGGAGATAATTCCAATACACAGATGTCATTCTTACACCTTGAATTAAATTAAAGCATAATTTCTATCTCCAAATAATAAGATTCTAGCCTCCTTCCCAACAGAAGCAGTGGTTTTAATAGTGCCCTTAACTAGTTGAACAATACAATTACATGACATTGCACATGCGTTTAATGATCCAGGAGTTTCCTTTTAGTTCTGTAAGGAAAAAGTAGTGATGACAAGTTAAGAAATCTTAGTCTGCACATTCTTGTCAGCTGGTAGGCAGAGATAATGCTAGCTTTGAAATCCTGATAGAAAGCTGTACACAAGAACCATGAAAACAAATACATTATAAAATACATGGAGATATTGATAGCTGAGTTTGTTAGTCTTGTTAGCACATAATTCAAGCAGTTTTAAAAAAAAAAGATTCTTTTTGCCTACATGGGAATAATTTTGATATTCTTTGCCCTAGGGGAAAATACTGTTGTGCCAAAAGCATGATCCTCGGTTTTAGGCTATTCTGTTTTGCTTCATTTCTGTAGAATACTGAATACCTCTCTAGAGAACTGAGATCAAAAAGCCTCGAGCACACAGGAGAGCTCTGGCAGCATAACAACTAACTGCCTATCAGCTGAACACCACTGTAAGCATTGGTTACTGAATACTGTTAACACCACAGTAAATAAGGTCAATAAACTTAGCTTAAACTATGTGAAAAAGGCCACATATTTCAAGAGGAACACGAGCAGCCCACAGAAGTGCTCTGTTACATTTGTTCAGCTATTACATGCTTCCAGAATAAGCCATTAGAATTTGATCATATTTCATTCCTAAAGCCAAAAAATGGCTGATAGGTTAATGGCAAATAAAACAGGAAAGGTTAAAAGACTGAATATACAGCCATGCTACAAGAAACAGGAGTGGTGTAAGGTCTGTGCCCTCACGCACATGCCAGGCCACTTGCTAATTCTTTGTTAAATTTCCACCCACAGGGCAAAGCTAATAGAACTAAACATGAGCATACATTCTTGTGCAAGTCAGCCATCCATCCCTCCTTAAATAACTAAGGGAAGTGGGTTTTGCTTATCTGGCTGATTTTCCACTGAAGCTTATTAAATAATGTTCATATTTTCTACCTTGCTGACTGAGCTGAGGGGCTCAGCCTCCTAGTGACTGGTGGTGACAAGCAGTGAGAGTGTGTAACATTTTTAACGGCTCTACATAGAGTCATTATGGAACATCTGTCTATGCTGCTGCTTCTAGAAGAGGAACACACTTGCTTCCCTTTGACATTTCTTTCCCCTGAAGGAAGAAAAGGATTCAGAAGTGCGTTTTACCAGCAATTAACTTCTCCGTGCATCAGCACTCCCTTCCTCAGTTAAGACTCATAGTATCCAACATATATACACAAAATTCTTGCCAGCCTGATTTTTCTTTTTACTAACAATGTTCTTGACCAATAATACTACATTTTAAAATGTGCTTCTTACAACAAGGCTCCTAAATTCACAATATAGAGTCAAATGAAGTCCCAGGGGGGAAAAGTGTTTGAAGGTAACTATCTATCTACTCTCATTAAAAAGATATTGTTCCATTGGTATCCATGAATTTGTCTCTAAGAAGAAAACAGAATTGCTTTGTGGCTTAGGTAGCTTTCTGTTCACCAGGTACTGCCACCTTCCTAGTTATTCATATTAGGCTTGGTTGCAGAACTGCAGACCAGAACAGCAGGTTTGGTTTGAGCCCCACTGGCAGAGGTTTGAAAAGAAGCCTGAGTAACATGGATACCTGCAGTGTATCTAATTCTTGATGGCCCTGCCTGAACCACCTTTCCAATGAAAGCTGACCCACTTCCCTCAATACTTCTCTTCAAGTTCATTTGCATTTCTCATCCTATTTCAACGACTGTCCTAAGAATACATAAGCACATGAAAATCCTATAATAGCCAATGGATGTTAGAAATGCATAGCTTAAGGCAGCAGGGAGTGACACCCAAAGCATCATATAAAAGTCACCACAGGCGTTTTAAACTCCACATTATGACTAAACAGATCAGAAACATAAAGATCCAACAAGCATGAAACAGCGTGCCAAGGGTCCAGTGTCTGATGGAGGAGTTTAAACTAGTACCAAGTCACGAATTCTGCTACAAACACATACACTAACTTCAAGATAAATGGGCTGCAAAAAAAAATCCCAGTAGTTTACTGCCCAAAGCAAACAAAACATTTCTAAAGGTTTGCATTTTTGCTGCCACAGCCAAAAATATGCATAACAGAAAAATGCATGACTGAAAAGATAAAAACCTCCTATATTCTACCTCTCCAAAAGCAGAAATAGCACGGCAGTAGAATGGGAGCAGTTCCCAAGATCTCTGTACCCAGATTACCTGTGGGGATTCCCTGTACCAACCAATGCCTTATGATGTAATCGGCACTACAAGGATGGAAACTCAACCACCTCACCCAGTTTGGCTCCTTTGCAACCCCCTCCCTTGTCTTCATAGGGAAGATGCTCTAGTCCTCTTACTAACTTGGTGGCCTCCTCTGGACTTGCTCCAACAGTTCTATGTCCTTCTTATGTTGAGGGCATCAGAACTGCACACTATTCCAGGTAGGGTCTCACAAGAGCAGAGTAGAGGGGCAGAATCACCTCTTTCGAGCTGCTGGCCACACTCCTTTTGATGCAGCCCAGAATTCGATTGGCTTTCTGGGCTGAGCACACACTGCAGCTCATCGTGAGTTTCTCCTCCACTGTCACTCCCAAGTCTTTCTCCTCGCAGCTGGTCTCAGTTACTTCCCCATCCAACCTGTAGGTGTGCCTGGGTATTTAGTATTCATCTCACCTGGCACGACGCTGGATGGATGAGCAATGAGATCATTATCACCCCAAAGAAAATCTAAAGTAACTGAGACGGGAAGCTGCAGCTGTGTAACAACAAGCAGCAGGACTGCATACCAGGTTAGGAACAAGAAAGAAAAGCACCATGGGCCACTTAAACTTGAGAGGGATTTTATTATAATTATCCTGACTGTAATATAACCAAGAAAACAGTGATTTGAAAGGGAGCTCTCAAAGTTCCTAGGCCAAAAGTGATTATAACACGTTTTCCTATTGTTTGACCCGTATTTTAGTCAGTGTTTTTTCGTTGCTAAAACGTCTGTCAATTGCTGTCACGTTAACAGAAGATGTTAATCTGTATTAGTAAACAAGGGTAGTAAACAGGTTTTTTTTCTCACTGGCAAAGATACAGTGTAAGAATAGATGAAAAGATAACTGCCATCTCCTACATATTTTCCCTTATTTCTCAACATTGTGTGGAAAATGTAGCTCAGTATTGACTAAAAGTTTAAGTGGAATATACTACATAATTTAGTCCTGCCTCTTCTCCAACTCCTGCCTTGTACAAACGTCATTTAAAGTATCTCTACTCATGCACATCGGGAACAATTACCAACGAGTAATACTGTACTGTAGTACCACGGTTCGGCTACAGCTTTGCAACAATATTACCCGAGAACCTATGAAACGTAAATTCCTCGCCAGCCTAGTAATTCTAGAGGGAAGAAAAAAAAAAAAAGCGGATACCGTCAATCCCCGCGAACAGCTCACAGCCAAACCTTGTGTCTCCGCAGAGCTGGAGCTGTCCTCGTGATGGTCGCACGGTAATTAGAGCAATTAACTGCAAGACATCCATCTCCAGCTACAAAGGCAGCCCCAGTGCGGGTCTGCAGCCCCCGCGGGGGAACTGCTCAGATGGAAGTTTGTGCACACCGAGGTTTTCAGGACCCTTTTCCCTCCCCTCTCTGAGCCAGGGGCTATCAGAGGGGACAGGTCCGAGCCACCCCCGGCCAGGGCAGCATCACCTCCCCGGGAACAGCGAGACTTACCTTAGTGAGCTGAGCAATCTTCTTGCACATCTTCATGTGCATTTCCCGACCGCATTCCTCTGCCGAGCTGCTGCGAGCGGCTTTAGATCCATTGCAAGTCCCGGGCTGAGGAATGTTGTTGATGCCAGAGGCCATTAGGCTGGAATTTGAATCCCTCCCGTCGGTGCGGGCTGGGGGAGCGCGATCCGGCCCCGCTGCTGGTCCCCGCGGCGCTGGGCAACTTCAGCTCGCCCTGCTCTGCAGATGTCCCAGTCCTTCAGCACAACACCGAGGCGGTCAGGCACAGAACAGCATGTGCAAACATCCTGATTGCGATTTTTTTTCCCTCCCCTTCTCTTCAAATGGTTGAGCTTCCGCCAGGAGAAGATGCCAGCGGCTGGGTGCTACGAATTCCCCAGCGGAGAGGCTGAGCCAGGCAGCGGCACAGACATCGCCGGGGATCTGCTGGAGCAGAGATTGCCTGAAGATTAAATCATGCTGCCTTCTTGGGCTGCCAGAGCCTTACAGAGGTCATCAGAGAAGGCTGTTGGCACCTTTCATAAGCTCTGTTATTTTGGCAATCCTCTCTTAAGTCCGGATGGACCAATAAGTGATGCAAAATAATACCCCCTTTGCTCAGTTTTTTGCTGCTGTGCTGAGCCAAGAGGCACATGAGTACAGCTGAGCCCAGGAGCTGTGTCCCCAGTCCTCCTGCCTTATCCAAAGAGACTGGTCAGTTCCCCTCAGTTACACTAAATGCACTGGAAAGGTGCCTAGAGAAAACTGACAATACTATAGCTATTCTATATTTTTATAATGTACCCAGTTTCAAAGAGACCAGGCTTGTACATGTGGAAAAAAAAAGGAAAGATAGAAAAGGCAGAAAAAAGGGCACAAAAAAAAGGCAAGCTATTAAGATAATAGGACTTTTAAAGAAGAATGCTTCAGTGAAGTGTTATTTGAGAAGAAAATGGTTAGTGGACACGTTTAAACAAGTCTAGAAGAGAAAGGGGAAGGAGGAGAACGCCAAGTAGGGTGAAGTCAGAGAAGTGGAGAAGAGGAAAAGGGAGAAAGCACACGTGAAAGAAGCCAAGACCAGCTCAACACCCCTTTGATGTGTCCCTGCCAACAGCACAAGAGACCCCATGGGGCAGGCCAAGGGCTCCACTTCAGCTCATACTGGTTTACAGCCAGAGGGACCATGGAGCTGCTTCTTCCCCCCTGCCCCACGCAGGCAAGGCAGCCTTCTAGTCTTACCTCCTGGCAGCACTTGCCATCCTGGGGCAAGAAGCTTTCCCTTTAGTACTGGTGGATTTGAAAAAGAGCTTCCTCAGGACTGTCAGAACTGAAAGGAGGATTATCTGGTGTCAGCTAAGGGCAGGGCAAAAGGAAAAAGGGAAAGCCTTGGTGATGGCAAAGAGAAACACTCTGAGAGGATAAAGATCAGGGCAGGAGAAAAATGTGGGGAGAAGGAGCAGTGAAAAGATGTGAGAAGACCTTGGGACAGGGAAACCAAGCCCCTGAATTGCTGAGAGAAAAGGAGAGACTGTAAATCCCCAAAGGCAGAAAAAAATCTTCACTCCAGGAGTGAGAGGAAATGAAGACCAAGAAATGCAGGGTAGAAGGGAAAATGAAGATGATCACAATTGCTCAGAGATGCTAAGGAGGGAAAATAAGTTTAGCCCAGAAAGAACATTAATCAGAAAAGGTAAGAAACAGATCCTTAATCCTTGCACAAAGTAATGACAAAGTTTCGTTACTCACTGATATTAGCATCCAAGATGCTGCTGGAACTTTTTCTGTGCCTATGGCACAGGGACATGCCATTGTCAATTCATGGAACTATCAAGGTTGGAAGAAACCTTTAAAACCATCATCAAGTCCAACAAATTATCTGACATCTGATGAGACATGTACTCACACTTAAGTTTAACTCAGTTAATATGGTTAGTGTCATCTTTACGAGGTAATCAATTGGAGAAAAAGTGTAGAAATTTAATTATATGTAAAATTTTGATTTAATTGACAAAGTTTTTAAGACAATCAGAAGAACAGCAATGGCTGGAGCAATGTCCTAGCATATTGTTTCCTCAGGAAAAAACCAAGCAACTAAGTGAACATAGAAAGAAAATTAAGAAAAATACAAAAGGTTCAAAAAATACTTGCAATAAGTTACTTGTGTTATTGCTCTACTAAGTGGACAGTAGAATTCATGGTTGTTCTACTGAACAGCAGAGGACACACTGGACCTGGATGCATGGCTGGACAGAGACTAGAGACACATGGGCACAGGGCAGAGGAGCACAGATCTTTAGGTACACTAGAAATGGAATAAACCACTGGGATCTTTTCAGGCTTTCAGTATTGGGGGGGCAGGGGCAGAGGAGAAAACTTGAGGCTTCCATACAGTGTGAAGTTTTAACAGAACATAATTGGTCCCTGGTAAAGATTTCTGAGTCCAGACAAGACTTTTCAGACAAGACTTCAAATACTGGAAAAGTTTCAGTCAGATCTCATGCACCAGAAAATGCAACCACAGAACATAAATTCACAGGTGACTCAAGTTGATTAGTTCCATTACTCAAGAAACCCCACCTGGTTTCAATAGCAGAATTTCAGCAGATAATGCCAAAGCATTTCAATGAGCAATTTTTTTCCCCTTCTAATTGATCAAGTGATCACTTACAATTAAGTTGCCAAAGCAAGGATGTCACAAAGTATAATCTGAGTGTGTACTATACAAATATGGGTTTCATGAGGATCCCATGGAACACATAAGTGGATTACAGAATCTTTGTGAACTTGGGCCAGTATATGGCAAGGACAGTTTAAAATAAAAATTAAAAATCTAAACAGAAAACATACACTTCTGCTATTGTTGCTGCATTCATTTATAGTAAATTACGAGGAAAGGTGGTCATGTCACTATAGTCTCTATAAGTGAGTCACTGTACACAGGTTTGTAGCTTTGCTGTGCTGATGTATTAACTATTTTCCTTTTTAGCACAAAAAAAGTAATAAATGAATAAAATACTTCCATTTTGTGCCTCCTGCTTGTTGAATACACAGACCAACTTCTGAAATCTTCAGACTAGCTAGTATTAAAAGAGCCACACCCCCAAATTCTAAGACATAAAGCTATTTTTGTTGCAAATACTTAATACATACATTAGTGCCTGTTTAACATATTACAAACAACTCTCCCAAACAAACAGCTCTCCAAACCACAATTAACATGGCCCAATTCTCTCACTCATTGTCTGAATACTGAGGTTAGTAGGATTTTTTCTTTTAGAATAAATGAGGGCAAAGTTAAACTGAACCCCCAGATTACACTCTACTGCTGTTTTGCAGGCCAATAAAATTTGCATTTGAAAATGGTAGGACAATACAGTTAGTAATTAACTCTCATGTTATGTCAGAACTGGTTAGATTGGGGCCCTGGCCAACCTGATCTAGTGGGTGGCATCCCTGCCCATGGTGGCACTGGGGTAGGGCTTGGAACTAGATGATTTTCAAGGTCCTTTCAAGCCCAAACCTTCCTACGATTTTATGTTTCAAATAACAAAGCTGCATGACTAAAACTGATTTAAAACCTCTCAAGTCAGCGTGTCAACAAAGGAAGATGCAGCCCTAAGCAAGATTCTAATTTAATTCATAAATCACTACCTTCGTTATTGACCTCCACTTATATTCAATTTGGTCCCAGAGTAGCTTTTTGACCCCAGAATAGATAATTCAGGAACTAATTTTCCTTCTTACATGGGGAAAAAAAAAGGAAATAAGGATAAAAAAAGTAGTCAGAAGAGTCATATAAGTTATCCTGCTCACCTAATTCACTATCCTCCTTCCAATGAAACTTGTTTTGGGATTGAATGCAAGAAAAATGACAAGTATAAAGTGCTGCCATTGATACATCTCAAGTAATTACCTATGTTACATATAACATTTTTATATATACTTATATATATCTACTTTATAATTTTAACTTCTTCCCACCTCATAAAGCAAATAGTATTCCAAAACCACCACAAGTGCTTCCCATTACCCCATTGACTGAAAACAGTAACTAATCAAAAATGCATATACAATTTTATAGCTGACTTACATGTACACAAGTTGTGGAGGAATGTAGTGAACAGAACCTCTGATTACTACTACACAATGACAGCCCAATTATGGATGAAACATTACTATGCTTATGTCTTAAATTTGGAAACAAACCAAACAGGTGCAGCAGTTGCCCTTGAACACCCAATAAACATAATAGCAACAACTTCCATTTTTTGTAACCTGCTTTTTACCCACTGACCTACATCTAATATTACCACAAAGTTAGTGCATGCATCAAGTTTGGCTTACCCAGTGGTACAGTATTTGCTCATGTAACAGGACTGACAAAGGAAAGAGAAAGGATCTAGAACAGAAGTAGACCATAGCAGATAAGGTCACTACTTCAAAGGACAAGGAAAAAAAGCTGGAATTAGTAGAATGCACCTCCCTCCAGAGCCTGGAGCACCATCCAAGGTTCTGAACTTCATGATTCCTTTCCTTTTTTGGATAGAACCCACTGGTCATACCTTGCTAGAGAGGTCCTTGCCCTCCTAATCAGTCCTTATATGCATCCCTCAGGAACTAACTGACCCTTATTGAGCCCTGAGACTTAGCTCAGCAGGACTGAAGCCTAGGGCTGAGCTGGAATGGGGTTCTTGTGTCCACGGGCAGGAGTTGTGGCTGGAGGCTCCAGCTGAGGTTGGTCAGGGGTCATTAAGGCTGATCAGTGCAGTCAAGGCACTGAAGCATAAGCTGTGAAAACTATGACATCAACATTTCTATCAGTTGAATAAAATGGCACTTGTGATCCTACTTCAGCATACTATTTACCTACGCATGAAATTTCAATTGTGATACTGGGAATCTTCTATTTCTACCTATAAATACAAAACACAGCAGAAATATTTAAAGTAGACTGGAAGAAATCAATCTTGCATCCCAGGTGGAATCCATCATAAGGTATTCCCCAGGGAAGATCCTCATCTGTATACCTGTGATGCAGGGGGGCATAAATGGGCTGAGAAACATATGTAAATCAAAAATAATTCAGTTTGCATCATTAGCTTCACTTAAAATAAAAGCCCTGGGTTTCAATGCCATGAGAATCACAAAGTTTTATCTGCTCATCTCTTCCTGCTTCCATCCTTTTCTCCACAAACAGGGTCCTA